ATATATATAATATATATAATTTATTCATTCATTCATTCCCTTTATTTTAGGTTTCTTTGCGGCAAGGAGATCAAGAAGAGGAAATGCATTTTCCGACTAAGGACAAGGGTCCCTCCTAATCCCCCATCTAAGTTGTTTCCAGAGAAGGCCCAGAACAGTGAGGGCCACAGGGGCCGCAAAAAAGGGGTCAGCAGAAACAGGTTAGTTTGAGCATTTCTGAGTGCCTCATTAGTGCCTCCCAATTTTATGACCAATACCTTTTGTTGATGTCACATGGAAACATTAAAATTGATTATCATGAGACTGATCCCAATTAAATATTTTATTTGATTTACAGTGCTATTTGTTTGTTATTTTTCCAGCTGATCGTAACTGAGATCTTCATTTTTACTTGATGCTTCAGGGGAATTTTGACTTTCGAGAATTTAGACTTTCGCAGTGCTTTAATGCAGTGAATGCTCTGAAAAACTCATGGCTTCTCCCCCTGTATAGGCCATAATGTTCAAACCCTGTTTGCTTATTTTATGTTTCATAATAGTATATATTTTTTGTGTTTATTTTATAATTTTGTTTTCAATATTATGTTTCTGGACTGTGTGGTTAATATTTAAAGGGGTCATATGATGCGATTTCAAGTTTTCCTTTCTCTTTGGAGTGTTACAAGCTGTTCGTGAATAGATAAGATCCCTAAAGTTGCAAAGACTAAAGTCTCAAACCCAAAGAGATATTCTTTATAAAAGTTAAGACTCGTCCACGCCCTCCTAAAACACCTCATTTAAACACGCCCCCACATGTCTACGTCACTATGTGGGAAGATTTGCATAACACCGCCCAAATGTTCACGCAAAGAAAGAAGGCGTAACTTTTATTCTCGCTGTAGTATTGTTGCTGCCGCCGCCACCATGTCGTGGAGACGCTGTGTGTTTCGTTGTCAAAACTACTTTTTTTGGCCTTCCAAAAGAGGACACAACTAGAAATCAGTGGTTAAGTTGTATTTACAACACTGTTCCAGAACAGTTCAAACCAAATATTCAGATGTGTGCAATGCATTTTACGGAGGACGAGGACTGTTTCCTGAGAGAGTAGCCTACAATGCCGGTGTTCTGACAAATAATGCTGACTCACAGTCTGTAAGTACGTTTTCATATTTAAAGGATTTGCCACTGATGATTCAAACTCGAGTTTTGAGCAGTGTAGAGTAGCGCTTGTTGTTTGTCGTTTCTCCGATCACAAATGCAGACATGGTTTTATGTTTACGCGGCGCGATGCAACGCAACGCGTAAAAAGACAGTATAAGTCATTATAATCCGTAATTATGTCCCCACTGGATGCAACAAATGCCTCGTTTATAATGGGTTTTATTGTTTTTGTCTCGTCGCTCCGGACATGGCATCACAGTATGGTAAGGGGCGCCACATTTCCGTCACACGCTTGAGGTATTCGGCCAATCACAACGCACTGGATAGCTGGCCAATCAGAGCACACCTCGCTTTTCAGAACAATGAGCTTTGTAAAAATCAACGCGTTTCAGAAAGGCGGAGCATAGAGGAGAAACAATAATGTACAGTATGTGGAAAATAATGTTTTTTGAACCTTAAACCGCATAAATGCATTTCATTACACCAAAGACACAAAATAATGTTCTTTTTTAGCAACGTCATATGACTCCTTTAACATAGTGTCTCTTTAATAGATGGTGATGTTTAGAAGATATAGTATTTAAGCCTATAGGTTGCATAACTTTCTTTGTGATCAGCTATGGAAGCACATGGTTTTTCTACCGTGTCTTGTTTGCTTTTGTTGGAAACCTGAATAAATCAATTTGGATTAAGAAACAAGAAGATGCATGTAGACACTTTACTGACACAGATTTTCACCAAACAATGGAATTTATATCCCCTATAAGTGGACATTTCACAGCCACAAACCTTTTTAGGATTCAGTAATTTCAGCTCTCAGATCTGTATTGACATGTTTAGTGGGTGGAGATGATGTGATGATTGACAGTTTAATTAGTTCAGTTGTTATTATGCTGGATTATGTCGTTTGAATGTTTCTCATTTTCCTCTGTTGCAGTAACTCTGTTCCTGCAGAGAAGCGGAGGAAGAAGAGGTCCAAGTGGCTGCTGGAGGATGCTATTCCTAATGTAAGCTTTGTCACTTCACTGTGACTAAAGTTGGATAACATGACCTTTCTTGTCTGGTTGAAAACTGTGTTCTGTTATTACAGCTGCTAAGACTGTGTAATAAACAAAGGGTTCTATGCCAGATGCATAAACACAAAAACTGTGTCTTAAGAACTAGCCAGCTATCAGTTAGCTGAGGGGTAATCAGTCTTATATTTCAGATTCTAACTAGGCCAGTTGACATTAAGTTTCAAAGAAAAAAAGAGATGTAACCAGCTGCACTGATATATAGAATTATCAAATTATTCAACACTATTTTTAAATACTGTATGAGTATATTTATCAGTGGTCATTTGATATGAGTTGCTCAGTGGCAAATATTGATATTTAGAGGCGCCCAATACAATGCAAATTAGATGGATTTTATATGCACATACAACCCCGTTCTGTATGTGTATATATACAGTGGGTACGGTTAAATTGATCAAAAGTGACAGTAAAGATAATATTATAGAGTTTATATTTCAAATAAATGTTGTTCTTCATCAAAGAATCCTGAAATATGTATCACAGTTTTCACAAAAATATTAAGTATATTATATATACTGTTTTCAACATTGATGATAATAAAAACTTGAGCAGCAAATCAGCATCATAATTTCTGAATGATCATGTGACACTGAAGTAATGGCTACTAAAAAAAAATCAGCTTTGCCATCACAGGAATAAATTACATTTTTCACAAATAAATTCACAATATTACTGTTTTTACTGTATTTTGATCAAATAAGTGTAGACTTGGTGAGCATTAGAGACTTCTTTCTGAAAAACATTAAAGATCTTACCGAGTTTTAAATGGTATATGATATGTTATACATTTTAATAACAGCAAATAAGACATGCTCAAAGCTTCTTTATTTAACGAAGCCTAATTTTGCTTAAAAATATTTATAAACAGGAAGTATTTGCTATCCTTTCACAAGGCTTTCAGACACTTTGGTTAATTGGCCAGTTGGGTACAGTTACCAGAGAATGTTAGTACTCTTAAAATGGTTATGTATCAGATGTTTAATTGGCCTAGTTCAGGGTGGTTCCCACACTTTTTGTCAGCCGAACCCATTTGACCTAAAATATTTACTTGAAGTACCTCCTTAGATTTTAAGATTAGATTTTCAATTTCAATAATTTAACAACACATTCGCGTGTTCATGGTTTTCTGATGTTGGTTAATGCTCGCCTGACATGCGGGTAAACTAATAAAATTACTTTTATAGTAAGTGTTTTATTTTTGTTTTTATTTAAAAATTATTTATTGTAATTTAACATTTTTATGATTTAATGAATTATTAGGGTTTTATCAACTCACAAACCCCCTGCAGTTCACTCACGATCCCCAGGTTCTGAAACCTGATATATATTGATCTATCACTAAACCACACGCACACAAACTAAATAATTCAGTTTGTGCAGTCCTGAATTAATGTAAATGAAAAATTAATTTAATTCATAATACTCTACAGTAGGAAAAAATTACAATACTTTTTTCTTAATTTCTTCTTCGCTGCTTTCACTGTGAACTGATACAGGGAAAAACACTGGATCACAAACTAATATGCAGTACTACAGACTATATATTTATTTAAATCACCGCCTTTTGAGATTTGATAAGAGCACTTAACCACTTTTGCGCTTTCAATTTTAGTTTGTTTGACAGATGCTTTGCCAAAAGCAATAGCTCAAAACACAACATTAGAGACCTTTTATGTTATTATGAGAAGTGAAAAATATTTTCGGTTCATTATGAAACAGTGGAGGGATAGATTAGACCATGACGGGTAGCCAGAGTCTAGGCGTTTAATTGGAAAATGCTGTATTTATATTATTTAATTATATATTTTCATTTTATTGTTTTGAGCTCTTGTGTAATGTCAAGAAATTTTGCACTGAGTAATCCCATTTGTCATACCACCCATCTTTAATGCGAATGAAACCATCACAGTAAGATAGTTAGATGTGAGTTCAAATCAGTCTTGTCATCCATGTTTTTCAAGTGTTTTGCATTTTAAATTTAGTTCGGAAAAGCCATAATTAAGCCATAATATTGCATAATCAATGTATGTTGTGGTACTAGCTCATTATTCACCCTTGTCCTCTTAGTGACTTCATAATCCATTGGGACCCCGAGGCACGTCGTAACAGTTAAGCGCATAATACAGATATCCGCATTCTTCGTGTTTGATGGCTCATTTGATACGTCTGCCCTTTAATTTTTTGATAAAGTCGCCTCACCTGTGCTAAAACTGCCAGAAATTAATTGTCGCCTTTTCATCAATGTACATAATGAGGTCTCAATCAAATTCAGTCTACCTTCATCAGTCTCTCTCACGGCAACAGACAGCACGCTTAACCTTTTCTCATTACCTTTGATTTGAATGCTTAAGCATCTATTTATTGGCTTTTGAACAATCATGCTCATTTGCATCCATTTCCCTTTGAAATATCGGAAAGGTCTCTCACTGTTTCCCTGATCACAACCCCACAGAAAATATATATTTTTTTATCAACACGGTGGGTGAAGCGATTTAATTATACTTTTCTGCAAAGGTTATCATCTCTCAAACAGGCCTGAATAATGAGAGAATTGGAAACACTGTTGGGGCAGACAAAGCTTTCAAAGGCAAAAGCGGCTGTCTGAGAGGGATTGTTGCAGAGTATAAAAGAGAAATCTGGAGTTGGTTTCGGCCAATAATAAAAAGGGCACGTTGGGTTTCATCACAAAGCCGTGAACTGTAGTTAATGAGTGCCATCCTTTGAATGCGAGTCGTGATAAACTCTGTTATAGTCACAATCCCAGCGCTGTATATTGTGTTGAATAGCAAGCAGCAGGTCGGATCAACTGTATTCTTTTGTATTCTTCAGTAGCCCTTTGTTTTGGCCTCTTGAGTATGGCTGAGGTTAAACTTATTGAGAAAGATGAGTTTAGTAACACGACGTCAAACTGAAACAACTTTCTTTTTCTTCAATTATTGTTTTATTTGAAAATTTGCAGTTAGGTTCATTTAAAAAAACATTTCAATCAGTGTTATTTTAGAATTATTATATATACTTTATTCTCAATTTCGAAAAAATTGACACTTAAGACTGGTTTTATGGTCCAGGGTAAGTATTTATAGTATTTATATATAGTATTTATTATTATTTTGAGTTAGCTTTTATTTTTATATTTTCAGTTGTATTTTAGTTTTAGTATTTTCTGTGTGTTTGTCATTTTTACTAGATTTTTAAAATATTTCTATTTAGCTTTAACAGAGAAATATGCTGTCAGATTATGGATTATTTATGGTTATGGCCACTTGTTTGCTCCTGTTTATTTTAAAGATGGAGTCTGTGGAGGCTGAAAATGGCAGTGAAACCATGCCAGAGATGAGAATGCCATCAGTCAGTGGTCACGTATCTGGGTTTGCTTTAGTGCTGAAGGTCAGATTCTTATACGAATATTCCAGGTACTTTCAAGCTCTACTGTGGCATGCTATCGATTACCACAGGTTTGTTTGGGTTATGCAGTTTTTCACAAACCATCAGTGTGTATTAAATGAACAGGAAACATGTTTACAGTAATCGCATGAAATGGAAGTCTAGCAGGTAAGCAAACTGAAGGGTTTTAAAAAAACAGGGTTCACATAGACATGAAAAGCCTAGCAGGGATAGTAAGACATTATAAAACTGAAAAAGTAATGGAAATTAATATATATATTTTTTTTAATTTTTAATTTCCATAAAAAATGTGGAGGGGTCTATACATTTTTTTAATGTTTTTGAAAGAATGCCAAGGTTGCATTTATGTAATTAAAAGCAGCAAAAAGTAAAATTATAAAAGCCTGTGAGCAGAACATGCAGTTGGATGGATGGCTGGTTGGAGACTGCCAAATGGCCTCACTCACTCTTTCATTGCTTTCCCATAGTTTGTCTTATTTATTTTAGGATATGAACGCTCATTAGTATTCCTTCAGTGTTCCTAAGGGTGTTTGGAAAGAGGTGGAGAGAGAGGGTGGAAGAAAATAAACACAACTTGGATTTTCTCGACTGGAAAAGTTGTGAGGGGTCGACAGATCCCTGTCCCCTACTGTGCATTCTCGTTGTGGGCTAGATCAAACACTTCACAAACACATATCTGCTTTCCGTGCTTGGCTTTCATGTACTAATACTGTTTAGCTCTACATCCCTTTTTAGCAGCTGTAATGATTTCTGAAATGGTGGTTCTCAGCACTGGATTTTGATATCTTGCTGTGATTTCCCATGTTACACAATGCCCTATGGGCAGAAATTTGTGGTCGTTATGCAGGGATCGTACGGTTATGAAAAACCTGGAAAAGTCAGGGAAATTGACTTATCTCTGTACTGGCTCCAAATGACGTCATTTACTCAAGATGGCAGTGGCCATACTGAGATGCTTTGGCTTCACTTTTCTATAGTGGAAGGAAGTGGAGACGCGTCGTTGCTCATTCCCGCAGCTTTCGAGTTTAAAATGAGGGAAATTCCTGCACATATTTATTCAATATAGCATGTAGGTTAGATGAGCAAATAAATCCACACAGACTGTCAGATTAAATCAGTCATTTGAAAACCGCGTGAGTGATTCAGCTGTACCGCGTCTTCTCTCTTTCACTCTCTCAAAGTGGCTTCACATTGGCGTATCTCATCTGCACTAAAAGAGCTGCTGTGATACAAGACTTTCACTCGCGTTTCGGGACAGTTGACAGTGGCAGGGGCCACTTGTGCTTTTAGGGAGAACACTTTTAAAATTCTACTTAAGGTTCTATTCTAACCTACTATCAGTAATATTCATTGTCATTTTTTACCATGTCACGTATCACTGCAATCGCTAGAAGTAAGCTATAACAATTTCAACTCAAATTAATGTTTCATCATGTTTAATTTATGTGACAAATTATATTGTAATGTAGTGTGATACAATACAAAAGCTCCTCTCTGAAGTGTACAGCCTCCTTTGAGTAATTTCCTCTTGACATAAAAGTTATGGCACAATGAATTACTTTTTTCCATTACTGTCACCCACAGGACAAACTGCACATTGCACCCAAAATTGTTTGGTGTGGTACGATTCAAGCCCTGCGTCCCAATGTTCATACTATGCATCCTAAATAGTATGTGAGATTAGAATTAGTGTGTCCCAGAGCATAGTATGTTGAAAATAGTATGCCGCCAGTTTACAGTGACAGGGTGTGTGTAACTGTGACAGAGAGGTCCGTTAAAGACTCGACGTGACGTGATAGTATGTCCCAAAGCTTGCATACTCTGCTACTATACACTCAAAAGTAGAGCCCGACCGATATATCGTTTTGCCGATATTATCTGCCCTGCCTCCATTACGTATCTCTGTCACGTCATTATAAGTGTTTGATCACCACATTTGAGTGATCATTGTAAAAAATGTGTTTATGTATATATATTCTGTTTTTTGTATATACTGTATTCTATATATAGTACCAGTCAAATGTGTGGACACACAAATGGGAAAGTGTCCAAACTTTTGACTGGTACTGTACTATAATGTACACAAAGAATATCGTGTATTTTTTACTCCCTAATATCGGTATCGGCCCCAAAAAAACCCATATCGGTCGGGCTCCCTAATATCGGTATCTGTATCGGCCCCCAAAAAAAACATATCGGTCGGGCTCTACTCAAAAGTGTGTACTTTTTTCTCAAAAAAAGCAAAAGACTACGTACTTTAAGGGTGTGGTATAAGTAAGCACATTGGGATGCAGCACAAATTTAGGGGGTCCAAGCTTGTTGAGACACATATCCCCACCCCCCTATAGAACCGCCCCTGATTGGACCATTAAATAATGGACCATTAGGTCATGAATATTGTCTCAAAGCCATGTAAATTTATTAGTAAAAATGTGTAGGAACCCTGATTATGGTGTTTATGCAGAATGGAAACTCCCCAGAAGATTTGCAGCATGAGAAAAAGATACCTAAAAGTCCAGTTCTGCTGCATGACCTTTAAAATGCCATAACGCCCACTGAGGCAACTGAAAGGGGACAGCGAATGGCTAGGAAGTAAAATTCAGTGTTAAACAGGGACATCTTGTGGTAGACAGTATTAGTGCATCTATACAACTGCACCTTTTTTGTGTTACATTTCTTTAATATTTATTCAATGGATAATACAACAAATGTTTTTTTCAGGGTTTTTTTTTTTTTTAGTATTTTTATTCAAGCAGAACACAGAGTAGTGCACATTTTTAACTGAAATATAAAATAAATTATCATAAAATATGAATTTTTTACATTTGCAGTAAAAACTGCAATATTTGTGAAATATTATTACAATTTAAATAGATTTTAAAATGTAATTTATTCCCGTGATGGCAAATCTGAATTCTCAGCATCAGAAAAAATTAAAGGTTTGTATATATTTATTTATTTTTCTTCACTTTATGAATTAAAGTGCTTATACGCTTAAATTATATGTTCTTTTTAAAATATAAAATGATAGCAGGCTGTATACAGTAATTAATAAGCATGTCTTCCATTATGAACATAGCCAGGCTTGAATTTGATTTGATTGGGATTTTGATTGATTTTGGTTTGTTTACGGGATTTGATTGTATTGTGAAGAAATAATCTTCCCCCACCTCGGCAAACTGGTTACATGAGCAGAAATGTAGTTCTAGAATATTTGAAATATCATTTAAAAAAATTAATAAAAAGAACATTTTGAGTGAAAGGTGAGTTTTTATGCTTCTTATATTCTTTACAGGAAAAATGTGGGCAGTCGGAAGAGGAAGTTGCCCTCCTCTAATTACACTGCGCTGGCCACAAAAAGAGAGATGGTGGAGCGTGAGCTGAGCCCCATCAGCATGCCTGGAGAGGAGAGTAACGTCATGATGGAGAACAGCATCGACAGCCACACTTTTGAGAGCATCAGCGAAGACGATTCCTCACTGTCTCACCTCAAGTCTTCCATCACCAACTATTTTGGGGCGGCCGGTCGGCTCACCTGCGGGGAGAAGTATCAGGTTCTGGCTCGTAGGATTACACCTGAAGGGAAGGTGCAGTATTTGGTGGAGTGGGAAGGAACTACACCTTACTGAATATCACAGAACAGAGGTGTGGAACAGATGGGCTGCAAAAGAAGGTGTCACGCAGTCCCCCCTCCCCCCATAGTTACTCTCTGTTTTGCTGTTCTGAAAGTCATAGTTTCGGAGTTCTAGTTTTGTTTTTCTTGTTTTCCACAAACCACATACAGTGTTTTTTCTGATACTCTGGTCTTCTCTCATGTGGGACATTAAAGTCTTTTTTTGTGAAGTCATTTGCAGTGTCCTTTTAGGGCACTTTAAACATCACAAACATCATTCAGTCTAGTAACATATGTTATTCTTACACAGTATAACGTCATTATTAGGTAGCAGATAAAGGACAGTATTATACAACATGAAGTCATTTCAGTTTAGTTTTGGCATTCAAACAGTTTCATTCGCCCCAGTGAGTTTCAGTTCCTGTTATTCAGCACTTCAAAGTTCGTGTCAGGTTTTGAGTTTAATGTTCATCCAAAAATGAACATTTGCTGAAAATGTACTCACGCTCAGGCCATCCAAAATGTAGACAAGTTTGTTTCTTTATCGGAACAGATTTGGAGAAGTTTAGCATCACATCACTTGCTCACCAATGGATCCTTTGCAGTGAATGGGTGCCGTCAGAATGAGAGTCCAAACAGCTGATATAAACATCACAATAATCCATAAGTAATCCACATGATTGCAGTCCATTGATGAATGTCTTGTGAAGCGAAAATCTGTCTTCGTAAAAAAAAACCATCATCATTAAGAGTTTATCTTCAGACCTTTGCTTCCGGCTAAATTATGCACAGATCAAGCACCATTTACAAGCAAAAACAGTTCTAAACAAGTATGTTGGTGGATTTTGATGTGAGAGGACAAAAGGGAATGACGGTTTAAAGTTAAAATGCCGTAATGATGGATTTGTTTCTTACAAACATGCAGCTTTTCGCTTCACAAGACATTAACTGATCGACTGGAGTCGTTTGGATTACTTGTGTATTAATTGTGATGTTTTTATCTGCTGTTTGGACTCTCATTCTGGCGGCACCCATTCACTGCAGAGCAAGTGATGGAATGCTAAATTTCTCCAAATCTGTTCTGATGAAGAAACAAACTCATCTCCATTTTGGATGGCCTGAGCGGGAGTACATTTTCAGCAAATTTTCATTTTTCTGCGAATTATTCCTTTGAAGTAACTCATTTTGTTTTGTTCATCTCTCAGTATTTGTGCAGAAGGCAAATACACAAATACACACACAATATACACATTTTTTTGTCCACCTAAGATAACAGTACAGCAGTGCTTTTTAGCTATGTTAAAATGTTAGCACTTTCGTTCTTTCCTGCTCAGCCATAATTTTTGAATTCGATCTAGGTGATTATATAACCAAAGTGACGCAAATACTGTTTTGAGAAGTATTTTTTCTATTTTAAATGCTTTTGTATGCTCTGGCATGTCAGATTGGATAAACTACCTGCTTTGAGAAAGCAGAATGAAACTGAAAGTGGAAAGTGATCATTTGCATTTAATTAGCAATAGAATTTAGGCTTTTTTCAACATTTGCCCACATATCAATGTTTTTACAAGATTTCCAAAGATTGTTGTTATATTTGAGATGGATCTGGAAGTGGCACTTATCAGATGTTTGGATTGACTGGAAAATTGAAAGTTATGTGAAGTTTTAAAGCTGTCAGGTTCTATAATTTGACTTAATTAGTTTTATAGTACACAACATTATAAATATACTTTATTATTTACATGTATATAATTGGATATAAGATTAGCCCCATTTTATTATTGCACTATTAACATGTTTTATCAGCTATGCAAGTTATTATTGGATAAATTGACCTATATTTTGTAATTGATTTTTTTTTTTTAATGTATAAAAAGATATTTCAAGTATTTACTTTTTACTTTTATAATATTTCCCCAAAGGAAAAGCATATGTGAAATTTAAAGCCAACAGTTTTGTCAACAAAACACAAAGATTGTTGTATTGATCATGCTCACAAGTTTTTGTATGTCAACTTGCTCACATTTCAAGAGAAGTTTTATATTTTGGTTTCAAGTTTAACAATGTTTAGAAGAGAAACAACCTATTGCCTTTGTATAAGATTAAAATTAGCTGTTTTCAATGCTTTTCTGACAATTTTTCTACACCGCACCCTCAAAGCCATACATGGTAAACATGTATTTGTTTTTTGGAACAGTGTTCAGACATTTAAAATTTGCAAACTTGCAAACTTGCATGTATCATTATTCATTCATTCCTGTTTCAGACCATTAAAACAGTTTGTCAGCAATAATTGTGTCTCATGTATCTGTACAAACATTTTCACAGGCGTGTTGGTATTATTTATTCTGCACAATTAATACAGACACAAATATAAGTGTAAACGGAAGCACAGTAGACATGATTAACTGGACTTTTCATCACATATGAGTAAGAGAATGTATGTTTAAAAAGTGTAGAAAAAACTACTTTTAATACGTTTAAAAAAAAAAAAAAAACGTTTTTCTTGCAAGGACCATCGTCTTTTATTTCCAAAAATGTATGTTTAAATAAATGTATAAACCCCTGTGTGTCAATGCCATGGTCATGGGGTCATGCATTTACACATCTTGTGGCAAAAGGTTAACTTATGAATATTAACTACATGAGGCTGACGTTCCAGTAAAGCTCGATTAATATTCATGAGCCAAGCCTTTGCAATGGTTAACTCAGTCAGCTGATTAGCGCCAACTTCTATCGACTGCCTACTAAACGAACGTAACGTTACCCGATTAATATTCATGAGCCAGGCCTTCACTTTATGTTTTTTGAGATGAAACAAATGAATAAGGGCAAAGTCTCCTGATTTTTTTGTGACGTGATTTAATATAGTCATTGTGTAACTTGTTGTTCTCTAGAATTCAGAACGAACCTGCCAAATTCAAAACAACTGTCCAAATGAAAGAGTCGCTTGTGTTTTTCAGGCTAGGTTATTTATTTCTTTTTTTTTTTTAAAGAGAGAGAGTTTTGTGTTTGTGGACAGATTAGTTGCTTTCTTCGCCAGAGAGTTTAATCCGTTCATTTAATTAAGGTATTACATGACGTGTCACCCTGTGTACTCTTCACTCTCAGCGACTCTCAGTAAAAACGGGTTAACAGTCTGCACGCGCAAACCAGCATAATTCCTTTTAAAAGTTCATTTTGATGGCACGTTTAATCATTATGAGGCGTTCATCATGTGTGCAAATGTCCTGGAATGTTGCGTGTTGAAAACTGCAGGCTGACATGTTTAGTGTTCCTACCACTATGTCAACATACATCACCCGCTGTCAGCACCAGGGTTGGATGAGGGTCACCGGTAAGTACATCATTTGTTTTGAGCCGAAACGAGATTTCTTAAGTAATTTTGTGTATATTATGAATGTGTTTGGCTTTTATGAATAAGTTTGTTTGCCATATATAGCCTAAGGGCGACTGAGACTAGTTGTCACACATGTTGCTGCAGTGCTTCTTATATTTAAAATGATAATTCCTGTATGTACACATGCCTTACAAGTCTCTATAAAACATTATTTAATGTTATTACATTAAAGATGGCCAAGTCTTAAGCACTTTATGGTCATTAAACACCCTTGTTTTGTTATAGGCTTTTCAGAAAAGTAAACTGAAATTATTGTGAAAAAAATAATTAAACAAGAACAAGTAAAATATCAAATAGTGTTGTAAATTTCTGCAATTTATTAAGTGCCCACGTGACTGGAAATATGAACTAATGTGTCAACTTGCCCCAGCCAGACATTTTTGATAAATAACTAGGCTATTAACTAATAACTAATTATTCACAGTTTAACTTGTCGGCTAAATTCTACCTTCATTATAGAGTTAACTCTTATCTGAATGTACAGTATGTAAGAGTGGTTTTCTTGTGTTCTTTAATGCAAAACTAATGGAAAAAATATAAATATTAAAATTTTAGTTAGGTGGACAGAATTCACACAAAAAAAAAACAATTCTGATTGAAAACTATTTTAAATAGGGTGTTTGAAACAACATTAGTAAATCAGGTATCAAGTCTTTTTAGTTTGTTATTACAAACAGATTTGTCTTATGTTTTTCCTGTGGCTCAGGAATATATATCTGTGTCTTGCCCTTTAGTCAGCAAATTATTTAATAATTTTCCTAATTATATTATATAAACAGTCCCAAAGATGCACTACAACCAACCAGTCTCTTAAATTTTCTTTTTTTTAAACTCAGTAAATTAACTTAAACAAATTGAAGTCTCTTTAATTCAATTAACTTTGTGTTTTTATACAAAACAATACTCATGCAACTGAATCTAGGCCAAGCAGGAAGGATTGTCCATTCATAGAGCTGTATGCCAGCTGGCTTTATGACCACTGGGTCACCTTCTGTTTTTAGCTGCTTAGACTCACACTCTTTGGTCTTATCGTGATTGTAAGTTATCCATGAATGCCTCGTCTTCTTTTATCATTTCTCGTACTTTTTTCTGCTTTACAGACATGAGAGGTTCATCAATACACTGGATGTCTTGTGGACAGCCACTTTCAGAACCAATCGGATGGCAGGTCAAGTTTTGCTTGGTTGCAGAATGTCAGCTTGTTCTCCTGGACAAGAGAGAGGTATAAATATATATTCATTATATATAACATATAATTTGTTTAAAACAGGAGAGCCTTTTAGAAATAATATGGGGTCCTATAATCATAGGGGAAGTCGTGGCCTAATGGTTATAGAGTCGGACTCATAACCTAAAGGTTGCGGGTTCGAGTCTCGTACCGGCAGGGATTGTAGGTGGGGGGAGTGAATGTACAGCGCTCTCTTCCACCTTCAATACCACGACTGAGGTGCCCTTGAGCAAGGCACCAAACCCCCAACTGCTCCCCGGGCGCCGCAGCAAAAAATGGCTGCCCACTGCTCCGGGTGTGTGTTCACGGTGTGTGTGTGTTCACTGCTGTGTGTGTGCACTTTGGATGGGTAAATGCAGAGCACTAATTCCGAGTATGGGTCGCCATACTCGGAATGTCACGTCACTGTCACTGCCATTTGGCTATAAGTTGTTGGCTTAAATATATTGGCCTGGTACTGAAAGCATTAAGAAGTCACATTTATTGGCCGATACAAATGTGACTGCTGATATTGTGCTTCACTGCTAGGCTTCATTATAACTATTTGAAAATGTATATATTTTTAGTTAATGAGACTTTGAAAATGAATGAGTTTTGAATCTTTTTGGTTCTGACCTTACGTTTGATGGTGCCCTTTGACCTCAAGGGGGCAGCACATATCAACAAGTTCATAGTAACAGGTCAGAGCAGAGAGGATGAGCTTTCTTTAGCATGCTAGAGTCTTTCTTATAGGCCTTACCCACTAACACTCTAAACTCTATGAACTTCTGTGGCCTGTCCTCAGATCAGTCCATTGCTGTTCTAAGAGTGCCGTGCTGAATCATGCACTGTATGGCTCCTGCGACATAGCACCAGCATTCCTGAGGGAGTTCAGCTCCGTAAAGACCAGAGCACCCAAACCAGAAATGCCAGTAAGTAGGTTCTGGAGCGCATACTTGTATACACCTGTTTCAGTTCATTTTTTCCCCTTTGGACAGTGAAGAAACACTGATGAGTAATAAACTCTGATAATAGTCTTTAAAGGTAATCAAGTGTCATTGACAAAGTGGAATACAAAATCAATCGCTTGATTGCTGCTGCTAATCTACACTACCCTTACAATGGAATCTTTATCCTGAGTTTTATGGCGCTTTTCCACTGCGTGGTACGACTCGGCTCAGCACGGTTTGCGTTTCCACTGCAGTTCAGTACCGCTTTAGAGTGGGCGGGATTATTCACATGTCGTTATAGTTGCGCTGCCTCTACTACCACGACTCCTAAAAAAACTTTGGCCACTTGTACTGTGAAAACTTTCAAATGAATGTAATGGTTTGAATTGTAGCCACTAGAGGGATACGTGCGCACACACACACACACACACACACACACACACCCCTTCCCAACTCTCACATGTCGTTATAGTTGCGCTGCCTCTACTACCACGACTCCTAAAAAAACTTTGGCCACTTGTACTGTGAAAACTTTCAAATGAATGTAATGGTTTGAATTGTAGCCACTAGAGGGATACGCGCGCACACACACACACACACACCCCTTCCCAACTCTCGAAACACTGTCCAACACTGTTCTAAATGAGTGATTTTGACATAGGCAGGGACAACTTATGCAAGTTAAGATTTAGCTACTCTTTATGTAATGTATTAGAATATATTTCTTTTACTCATATTAGTGGATTTTAAATGATACAAACTTCAAAATGCCCCTCGCTTTCATTTTGTTAAAGTTCAGATGTGACACCAATAGACAGACCCATGAAATAGAGCATGATGGAACACATTGTAGACTGTTTTCCGTTTGTCTCGGACAGGCTGCAAACCAGTAATTTGCAGTGGGAGGCATAATTATGATGGTGTTACAGGACAGCTATTGTTTAGAATTGCCTAATAGGGACTCTGGTTCACAATGCCATTGAATTTGAGGACGAGACACATTATGTTAACGCTTGTTTTGTGAAAAGGTTAGAGAGAACTCTTGCATTAAATTGGCCAGTATGGTTCTATCTATCTGTCTATCTGTCTATTTGTCTGTCTTGTCTGTCTGTCTGTCTTTTTTTAATTAGTATTAAAAATTAAGGTTTGAAAAAAGTAAAAAGAAAGTATAAGAGTGTCACATAAATGCCACATTCACCGTTCAAAAGTTTTGGGTTGGTAAGATTTTTAAATGTTTTTGAAAGAAGTCTCAAGGTGGTATTTATTTGATCAAAAATACAGTAAAAACAGTAATTTGTGAAATTGTATTGTTTTAAAATAAATCTATTTTAATATATTTTAAAATGTAATATATTCCTGTGATGGCAAAGCTGATTTCTTGTTTTTAATTAATGTTGAAAATCGTTGTGCTGCTTAATATTTTTGTGGAAACTAATATTTTTTTTAAGGATCCTTTGATTCATATTAATTTATTTGAAATAGAAATGTTTTGTAACAATGTAAAAGTCTTTACTATCACTTTTGATCAATTAAATGCATCCTTGCTGAATAAAAGTATTAATTAAAAAAAAGATCTTACTGATCTCGAAACTATTGAACGGTAGTGTATGATCATGGGTACACATTGACTGCTTTTTAGATCTCAGTAAGATTCTTCTCTGTCGTGTGAGCCGTGGTGTCATTGCAGCTCAGCACTGTTTTAATGCGTGTGTCAGACACTGGCAGCTTGTTGCTGACTCAGCAAATGTCTCTATGCTGTTTACTCTGCACACCCCCCGCAGAGACACACATTTAAAACCCCACACACCCTCCTGTGCATCATCAGCATCCTAATCTGTCATAGCGTAAAAGAGAAACACACTTGATATCCATATGTGGTTTGAAATCCGATTAAAATTGGATTTTTGGAAATGCGTTGCAGTCTGATCGGATTTCAAGTTTCAGGTTCTTTCCTCCTTCGGGGTGTTAAGTCTGTAAAGTCTTTAAGTGCTGTAGTGTCCGCTCTTATATGTAGCATTAACTGTGTTTTGAATGGTCTTGAGTGAATGAGTGATCCGTTTTGGATACAGTGCATTTGTTAATAGTACAATAATGCCTCCTCATGAGTTGTGAGCATTTTGGTGAAGTATGATGTTGTATGTTGGACATAAGCATAAATAATATTTCCAGTTTTTTGTTCCCTCTTTCCGCAGTAATAGCTATACTCTTTTATATAATAGACGTAGATAAACAGTTGTGGAAACTGTGATCCATATTGGTTTCATTACATGTGGGCAATTGGATTTGTAAATGAGGCTGAATTATGTGTAGTGTGATCAAAGCCAAGTTTATTTAAGCACTTTTTTCTTTCAAATTAAAAAAATACTAATTTGTTATAAAAATGTTAGAAATTATAAGTCCATTATTTACACAATTCTTACAAAGCATTGCTAATATTTACTGATATTTACAAAAGACTAACATGATCATGAGGAGTAATAAAAAAAAAAAGAAAAAACTATAAATTGATTACCAGTTAAAATAGTATTTCCAAGAAAACATGTTTTGTTTGAGTTTTGGATTATAGAAAGGCAAGAATGGAGAAAAAACTTGAATATTCTTTATTAATTTCCAGTTTTTTCATTTTAGAAAGTGCACAGCATCCGCAGACATGACAAAAATGAGAACATCATCTTTAAGTAATGAAAATATTTAACTCCCCTAGGTTCACCTCATTGTTATATTGTGAAATAAAATGGGAAACTTATTTTAAACTTATTGAAATTTTTTATTAAATTTCAGCTAGTTGTCGAGGCAACATTTATCATTTTCATTTAGTTTAACTTGATGCACTATTATAACTAAAACTAAAACCAAAATTAAAAATAATAACAACTATATAGGCATTAACCCACAAAATTACTAAAATGTTAACCAAAGTAAAAGTAAAAATGAAAATGTAAAATATATAAATATAAAAATAATTAAATTCATAAAAACTATGAAAGAGAGATTGAAAATCTCAATGATACTTAAATAACACTGCCTGTAAAATATATCTAGAGGATGGTAGAAAGACATGCTCTCATAGAGAGAGATAGAGAGAGAGAGAGAGAGAGAGAGAGAGAGAGAGAGAGGAAAAGCAAGTGAAAAATCCTGCTGTGTCTTTAAGAGCTATGGTGCTCGTGTGGGAGTGAGTGGGGCCCAGAGAAGTGGCTCAGCCCAGCTCAGATCTGCCAGATGCAACACTCCAGCCAGAACGGAGCGTAGGCAGGCAGGCTACACGGGAGGCAGCGCTCTTCTGGCAAACGGGTGACGAGGCAGAGAGAGAGAGAGTACCCTCCTCATGAACCGTTGCTGTCTTCACCTCCCTTGGCACAGAGAGCATGTCTGATTTTGCCTGTCTTTGAAGTTATGGAGTTGGACAACAAACTCAAGCTGGACGGCCACCATGGTAAGAGGAGAACTTGGATACACTTTTAACAAAGCACATGAAGTGTTGAGAGCCAGACAGTGATGTGAGCTTGTGTATGTGGGGCTGTGAAACAGATTAGAGCAGGTTGCCAGGGCTTTTGCAGATTTCGTATTTTGTTGCAATGACAGAACAACTGTGATCTGTACAAAATGTGTGTAATTACGCACTAAAATGTGCCTTTATTCCTTGGGGAAGGGTTTAGAACATGTGTGTTGACATGAACAGATGAAAACGCTGTAACATCAACAGATGTGTTCGCTCAGGTTGCTACTGTTACCTCAAGGCAGGCTGAACCCTTGACATGCATTAAACCTTACCTGAAATTTGACCTACCATAGGCCAAGGGTTCACTTTCTGTCCGGCAGCACTGAAAACCATTATTTATGCCCTACAAATTTACTTCATCCACTTTTAGTGTGCACAAGAAGAATTTGAGTATTTACAGTATGTTAAAGGTGTTAGAATCGAAAACAAACCAAAATTCAGCCTTCAGCTCCATTACTTTATATTTAATTGAATTAAAAATGAGTTTGGTTAGTTTTAAGTATATTATAATTTTGCCACGGAACCTGTGCCATGCTGTTACATTCAAAAACATTTACGCCATTGTATTCAGGAAGGAACTCGTGGTTCATTCTGGATGTAGTTTTGTTCATTAATGTCTTTCTAATGAGACTGAACTGCACTGTATTGAAGGATTTAATGCCGGCTATGTTCATGCTGATGTGACAGTCATGTGGGCTGAAATGAACTTTATAGGGATCTGTGTCATGGTCCCTAAAGCAAACTGTAATAAAACTTTCAGAGCTTGTCAGACAACAGTTTTGCATAGTTGCAACTTGTTTGAGGCTTTTGAAAGACATAAAAAGAGTAAGGGAATAAAATTAAATAATGATTAGCTATCCCACCAGATGATTAAAGACAGTGTAGGTAAAGAAAAAAAAAATCAACTTGTTTTTGTGTTTTAAATGATGTGTACATTTTCTGCTGCAATTGAGTTGCATAGTGGCCAAGCTCACTGTACAACATCTTTGTAGTTGGTTCATACAGGCTATTTAAGAAGTATTTTGTAGGTAATATGAAAATGCTCTGCCGTATTCATCGTTTTAACTTTCACCAGAAATCTGGAATCAAACAGAATTGTTCAGATATTCGTCAGCATAACCCATGTGAGAGTTTTGCGTTTCAGCACAAGTTTAAAATGTTTTGAGTCAATGAATAATTAATTAAATGAGCTTTTTCGCAACGGGGTCTGATTATTTATATTTGCTCCTTACTGTTTGACTTCCTTTTATCACTTTATTCAGAAAACAGCTGTTTTGAAAAAACAAAAACCTCCCAATACAACGGAAAGCCAAGGAAACATCTGAAACATTTGGTGGGATGGATGTTTTCTGTTTGTTGCTTCACTTTGGTTAGGAATATGTGGTTAAAAATCTTCCAGCAAATATATGTTGGGCTCAAAGCAATCCTGCTTGTAACTTTGCCGAGGATTAAACATCCCAGACATGGCTCTGAATGGTGACAA